CTACGGTCGAGAACTTATGACATATTTATGCCCCGGTCGAGGAAGGGGACTTAGATACGCCGGACCCACCGCCGGGGATCCCGCCGGATAACACTACACCCACAGTTAGTGCAACAACAAACATACTAGTTCGCCCTCGCCTCCGAGCACGGCGAGACCAACACAACGCGTACACAAGGTACACCCGCGTTCCAGAGCGGTTCTCACCGCCCCCAGCCACCGATTAGCTAAAAACACAGTCGACGGCCATCGGGGTCTCGGTCCGCACCGCAACTTCGATGGCCCTTGGATGACATGTCGTAGTTAAACGCACGCATGAGCACATGCGCGGCCCTACCCACAGCGGAGGGCCCCAAACCCGTGGGTTCTGGCTAGCCCACCGGTTCTGCGTCAGATGAAGCTTTAATAGTCTCGGGACTGAAAGCAAAAACATCAGTTAAAAAAAAAACATATTTATGCTGACAAGAAGAGGCTGTCGAGGATGTTGTCGCTGGGAAAAATGATGGGATTTTTTGTTGTCCTGTTGCTGCCAAAGGATCATTGCATATAAGCAGAACATCTGAACTGATTGTTTAATGAACAACATAGCTTAGGTGCCGTTTCACCGTCTAGCGTGAATTACGAATTCGTAATTAATTACAAATTATTTTATTTAATTCTATCAGTTATTTTATTTAATTCTATCAGTTATTTTATTTAGTTCTATCAGTTATTTTATTTAATTCTATCAGAGACGGCACAGGAATTCAAAGACAAGTCGACACAACACATCTTCTTTTCTCCTGGAACGACACCGACGATGAAACCGGGCTACGAAATTAGGAAGACATTTTGTTGTAGGTAGTCTTCATCAAACCCACAATTCAAATTCAATTCAAATCATTTATTCATCGAAATAAGAAATATACATTTCATTTATCGATAGTCATTTTTTAAATCTACCACCGTTTCGTAATGAGGTTCCTCTAACGGAGAAGAAACAGGCGAAAGAAACTCCGTAGGTATCCTCTTTTTTGTCATTTTTTTTACTCAGCAAATACATAGTTATACAGTATATATTTTTTTTTTAGAAATAGCTTATGAGAGATCATCTCATTCCCAATCTGTAAGTTTTCAATTATCTATTTAACTGTGGTAGGGCCACGCAACAGAGTTCGCTGTTGCACGAATGGGCAGGTCCGTCCGGGTTGAAGTAGAAGTGTTACACTTTTGCGTTTCATCTGGTGAGTGAGGTAGCCGGGGCCCACTTTAATAAAAGGTGACAACGAATCTGCAACCGTATGGGTATTGCTAATGTTCATGGGCGTTGGTTATCACTTAACATCAGGTGAACCGCCAGCTCGTTTGCTATCTGTCACATAAAAAATCTAAAACACTAGTTCCATAAACGTTTACCTCAACTTCTAACCTTAACTGTCCTACATTTTTATTATCAACGCAAGAAAGATTTCAAACGACCTTACGCATTTTCGTCACGACCGCGGCAAAATTACTTTAAACATTAATGCACCATTCTAAGCAAAAAACTCTCATTGACTCCAAACTGGTTTAGGTCACTCTGCATATTTTATGGGAACGAGACAAATTTGCCGGGAATTAAGTCCGCGACTGCATTATACGGTTTGAAGCCTCGCCTGCCCCCGGGACCGAGCAATTTATATTTTTAATGTAACATGAGGCAAAAGGCAATAAAAGAGGAGCTTAGGAAACGTTTACACACTGAAAATATATCACTTTGTTCGAACTGTTGGATAATTCACTTAAAATCTCGTTCTTTCTATCCTCAGTATCCCGATCCTCATGTCCTATTCTATTGTTGTTATTCTAATGTTTCACTCCTTTTACATTGCATTGAATGACAAGTTTTGGTCAGTTCACAAAACGAGATTCAAACCCGGACGGACAAAAATGTTGGGATGGTCAATGCATATGGCGAAAAGACTAGCGTAGCAAAGCGAAGTAACTGTGGTAGGGCCAGGCAACAGTGTTCACTTTTGCACAAATGGGTCGTGGTACTAATCGGGACGGACCTGCCGTCCGGGTAAGTATCACGACCTCACAAAACGGCGTAAAGTAGAAGTGTTACTCTGGTGATTGAGGTAGCCGGGGCCCACTTTATTTAAAGGTGACAACGCATTTGCAACCCTACGGGTGTCCATGGCGTGTTATCACTTGACATCAGGTGAACCACCAGGTCGTTTGCCACTTTTTCACAACAAAAAAAAATATGGGTACGATTCACTACAATATATACATAGTCAGTTTGTGCCAGTAGAGCTTTGCACCGTTGCAGAGGAATAAGAAATCATCACCATCCTCCTGCCCTTATCCCACTTAGGTAGGGTTGGCACAGAAAGTGAATCATGTTGGTAGTGGTTCTGGAAGGGTATTTTACGACCGACCCCCTCCCTTAGAACAAACACCCAGATCCGGAACAAGTGTCTGTAGGTCACACAAATACTTGTCCCGTGTGGGAATCGAACCCACCCCTCCCGACGCCGAAGCTAATAGCTGGGCAGCGGCTCCACCGAGTCCCAGTAATAATACCGAAAAATAAAATCGACTTCAAATATCTCGCTTCGTATTGATTTTATGACTAATTTTCAGGAGTTCAAGCCCAAGATCTAATACCATTGAAATTAATATGGGACCACATAGGAAGCACCAGCTTTCAAATAAAAAAAGATTCAACAAAATTGGTTCACTCACGCGAAACGTCTGAGGTAACAAAAAAAAGTTTTATGACAAAAATAGCCGACTTCAAATAAAATAATGTACGAAACTATTACAACGTTGCAATACAAATATGGCGATGGGCCGGCCATATAGCTCGTAGAACCGATAACCATTGGGGAAGAAAGGTTCTCGAGTGGCAGCCTCGTACTGGCCATCGCAGTGTAGGACGACCCCCCACTAGATGGAGTGACGACCTGTGCAAATGTGCGGGAAGTCGATGGATGCAGGTGGCTCAGGATCGTACTTCATGGCAGTCTGTGGGGGAGGCCTATGTTCAGCAGTGCACTCATACAGGCTGAAATGATGATGATGATGATGAATACAAATATGCAAAACATTGCAAATTTGTGTGATAGCAGCAATCGCGGTTGATTTTCTGTAATTTTTCAAAGAGTTCCGTTTCTATCTCCGAAAACCATCATCAGATCTATATGAAATTTATATGGGACCATTGCGGAATGAACCGTTTCGAACAAAGAAAAGTAAAGTAAAGTAAAGAAACAGCCTATACATGTCCCACTGCTGGGCAAGGGCCACCACGCGGCCCCACTGCGGATTGGCGGACTTCACATATCTTCGAAATATATATTTTTTTTGTTATTATTTCGAAAATATGCAGGTTTCCTCATGATGTTTTCCTTCACCGCAGAGCACGTGATAAGTCAGCACTTAAAGTTAAAAACTTCATTGGTGCCGGCACCGGGGATCGAACTCAGGTTGCTCGACTATATTGAATTAAAGGCGAGCGCCCGGACACTGAGCTATCACGGCCCTTCGAACAAAGAAAGAATTTTCCAAATTCGTCTATATATGACGAAGTTATGCCTGAACATACATTAAAAAAATATAAACATCCGAATTGTTAACCTTCGTCTTATTGAAGTCGGTTAAAAAATACAGTGAACCTCCTCCTTTTTAAACGGTTTTATTTAGCTCGACCCGTACGGAATTTGTTTGTTTGGGTCAAAATTAGAAATTGAAATTTAAGCACCTTGCCGTTGTCAGATTGATCTAAAATTTGGTACACACATTTAATTTAGATGACAATACAATATTAACAAAAAAAAATTTAACAAAACAAAAACAAAATAAAACCGTTTAAGTTAAAAGTTTTTAAACGGTTTTATTTGAAGTCGGTTAACAAATGAACTAATTAAATAGCCACTAAAGAAAACGTTCCAATAATGCAATGCTTATTACATTTCCTGCCAGCATGTACGCGCCTTAAGGGTCTGCGTATCGTTCTCGAGATTACTCATTACGTCGATGATTCCGACGTAACATGTTAGGTGTATCTCCCGACGCATCTCGCTGGGTAGCTGTTTGCTTTGTTGATTGATTTAAATATGAAATTTATACGCTGAACGCTTAAAGTTATTCTTTCTTTTTAGTTAGACGGTGCTATTATTCACAGTTGTGTTTATATGCTCTTTTGCCTTGTAAAGCTAATGAGATAAACAGAGATAAAGCTCTTGACTAAGCTGTTATAGTTCCAAGTTGATTGGAGATTATTTTGTCGCCTTAGCGTTACAGATGCGTTGACAACCTTTTGAATATTGGGCTCCGGCTACCTCACTCACCAGACGAAACGCGAAAGTATTTGTCATACTTCCACTTTACGCTGGTCTTCTGTGAGGTCGTGGTACTTACCCAGACGGGCCTGCCCATTCGTGCAACAGCCGAGGCTGCTGCGTGGCCCTACCACCGTTTTTCTTCGAAATAAATATTTCAATATAAAAAAGAAAAAAAGATACTGTTTATTATTAATTCGAAAAAATGCAGGATTCCTAGCGATGCTTTCCTTCACCGTTGATCATTTGATGAGTCAGCACTTAAAATTTTAATTAACAATTTCATTGGCACCGGGATTTGAACGAGTATATTGGATTTAAAACGAGTGCCCGGACACTGAGCTATCGGGGACGTGTTTAAGTATTGGCTATAAAATTATTCTAGTTCTAACTTAACAGACGTAAAATTACTATGAGCTAATACTGGCAGGGGAGACTGTAGTGCATTAAATTATCAGTATTTTATAGTTAAATATTGCAGCCTGTCATTCTGGCTATTATATAATACTTATATAATACGCTTGCATTTAACTCGAACATCTTGCTCCTTTACGGAGAGTGGTCACGAAAAAGGAAGGCCCGGACTGAAACTGAAGACTTAAGTAATTTCAAACAAGTATTTAAGCGCTAAGGCATTCTAAAGGACCAATTAAATTACATAATAGCGGTTCGGATGGCCACCATGTGTGATTAGCTGATAATTTCGGTGAGTTGGTAGCGCTGGGCGCCCGAGGCGCTGTGGATGCGCACGCGACTGGCGCGCGCTCAATTATGAGCATGCGATTGGCTGAATGTGCAGAGCTTTTGCCCTAATGCGTGTACTCAAAAAAACTTTTGGCATCACTCGCTGCTTACTTTGCTTGTCAAGTAAAGTCGATATCCTCGCAGAAAGTTGTGAGATGTGTTATTTGTTATTTTTTATTTTAATTTCGTCTGTCGAGTGTAGAATACCGAACTCCCTAAAGACTAACAATTACTATTCTAGTGGGCTTGGAATGGCATTGTTATGTTCGTAACCATAGACCATAAACTTTTTGACTTTTTTATTTGTTGAAAAAGTAGAAGAAATAAATTTAGTGTTTCGTGACGCAATTATGCAGGTGTGAAATACAGATAAAGATACTTTGAAAAATAATAGGAGCTCACGACACGCAAAACCGTTTACGGCAATTTATTTTTTTATCTGTAGAAGCTCTAAAACTGCCGACTTTGGACACGTGCCAGAAATAAACTCTAACATATTTTTATGTTTGGCAGCACCTGTATAACCGTCATGTATTCCGATAAACTGAACAATTTTGTTGTAAATGCAAGAACGGTTTTTTTTTTTTCAACATCAGGAAATCGAATATTCTTTCTATCAATTGATTAAAACATAAAATTTTTATTTGATAAAAATAAAACATAGAATGTAAATAATTATAGTTTTTTTCTTCTAGTTTTCCATGATATAATTATGCCTGACTTATTATGACTACAATTAGTAAATTTTATTATAATAGCGATATAAACCAACGATTACGTAGTAAAAGTTTAATACGCGTAAGATTGAAATTAATTAATTAATTGATTGCAATTTTAATTAGCAGTATGTGAAAGATATAAAGACATAAATAATTATTCTTATGATACTGCTATTTATTTGTGTTATATTGTATCTTATTTGGCAGCACAACATTTATATTAAGTCCATTTTGAAACGAATGATTTCCTGGCTGTGGCGTTGTTCGCGATTCGATGTTTATTTTGACAAATACCTATATTGTTTCCAACTACTGAATTAGCGACTTATTAGAACGTTATAAATATAACAATTTAGTTGAAATATTACAAACACCGTTAAATATATTACTTTATTTGCTAAGATCTAAAACTTAGAGTTTATGCATGCGTACGAAACCTACATAAATCTCAGTGGGTAGGTAATAAAATAAAAAATTCTCAAATTTTATAATGTCTAGAGTGAATCTAAAGTTCTTTAGCCCTATTTTATTAAGGTTCTACAGGCACATGTATAAATCCACCGGTATCTATTAGATCTTTAAAAACGTATTTAATTCTTATTACACATTCATTTTATTCATCTCAAATCTTGCCTGTAAGATAAGATTATTTAAAATATTACTGAAAACTAGGTGTTAAGACTATCTGGTTTTCAGTAATTATATGCAATGTATTTTAAAGAATAAGTTTTGACTGCAAATGAACTCTCAGGCCTATATCAGAGTTTATCTCACCGTTTAAAAATTATATACTACAACTATTGTTACTTGCTTCTGATTATTTCTTCTTCTTCTATCTTCTGGCCTTATCCTTTCTGGGAAACGAACCCACGAGCTCCGGCGCCTAAGCCAATAGTTTAGAAACAACGCTACGGAGTATCCCTTCTGACTGACCAAAGAGTAATTATCACAACAACTGTAGTACTTCCAGATTTGTACATATTATATCTTACTTCAGAATTATAGCTTCCTTAAAATATTATATAGTCTCGCATTCACAGAACAGAGAACAGACATCTTTGTATACAAGGAGGCTTTTCTAAGTGTATCAATTTTTTTATTAAATTCTAGCCATAAATAATGTTATATAAAAAAATAATAAACATTTAAAATCACTCGTAATTAATTAATTACATTCATTTGAACTTATCTCAAAAAGTGCGTGATTTATGGGCAACTCATTTATTTTACGCCCGATCATTCATAACTAACACGCACACAAGTTTGTTTCAAAAGTATACGACGCATTTATGAATGACTACCGCATTGTCAACAAGCTCTGTTTTTTAGGGAATAGAATTGTAATTTTTTTTGAAAACAAAAAAGTTTGTTTTGTTTTCAATAAACGATTATACTACCGAGTTTGAACCTCCGGTTTAAATTTGGGCACCTTTAGAAAAGCCACACTGTGTAGCTGATAGCGTTTGCGCTTTGGTCCGTGTGAAGCTTTACTAATCTACGTACCCACTAAAAGGCTGTATTAAAAACTAGCCAAGTGCAAGTCAGACCCACGCGTCTATCCGCCAAATCCGTGCCGTGCGATAAAAAACTTCGTTCCAATAACACAAACGGGTGGTTAACACCGCCAATCACCTCACTTCTTATTATATTCGCATACTTGTAATAATTTAGTAATCCATTAATACCATATGAAGTAACAATAGGCAAGCTATTATAGGATATAAGGTATTTGTCACATACATATCGTGGTGATAACTCAGAGTCCGGACGCTCGATTATAATTCAATATACTCGAGCAACCTGTCTTCAAATACGGCTTCAGTGCCGGCACCAAAGCAATTATTCATTTTATGTGCTGACTTATCACGTTCTTATCGGTGCAGGAAAACATCGTGAAGAGATGCAATAATCATAAAATTTATTTAAAAATATGATCTTTAATCCGCAGTGAGGTTGCGTGGTGTTCTATGACCCAATACTCCCTGTACAGCGGAGGTCTTTGCCCGGCAGTGGGACATGATAGAATTTTATTTTGCTTTATATTCTACTCGTTTTGTTATTCCTAAACGGGGCAAAACTTTGTGTGCTTCATCTATCATAATGTTCAGAATGCGAGTGCATTTAATGTTTGTGATTAAAACTCTCGTGAAAGCTGCTCCGCGATTCTAACTGAATCCCTAGTGTGAGGAAGGTTACTAAAGGTTGAAACAAAGAACCTAGAGATGTCGAGATCGTTAGGACTACCAGCAGTATCACAGCAAGCCCGTTCGGCATAACGCCTCATCTCATACCGTTCGAATGGACCTCCGTCGCGCGTAGTGTAAAATCCCCCATAAAAATCACCGGTGCCCCTCAGCGCCGCGTTCCGACCCAATCGTACATCGCTCTGGCTTTTTGCTCCGCGATCTCACCAAGCATTCAGCGCGCGCAAAAAGGGTCGAATCAAAATACCGCGATAGCCGCCGCCATCTTTTATTTATGCGCCCCGTTTCGACTAACAGGCGTAATTTTTTCCGCTAAACAATCAGTTTTGCCCGAAAAATGCGAGACGGGAAGAAGACATAAAAAGGACAGCCGCGCTCGGTTCGGGTTTTTGCCCTGCGCGCAATTAGGGCTAACCGCGCCTCTGGGAGTTGGTTTGTTTCGTCTGTGATATTCGATGCTTTAGGATTTCATACGTTTCTATCTTTATGATGTATCTATTATACAGAATCAACGGAACAATTTATAACAATTAAATTATATTTTTATGTAGATGACTTGGTAAAAGAGAAAGCCAATCAGACAGTCTTACATGTTAATTTTGTATAAGAAGTTTTCACGAGATGCAGTTGGAGCTGGTCTTTGGCCAGCAGTAGAATGATTGAAGGCGATCATGATGCTTTAAGTGGACTCAATAGATGACTACAGAAGTACAACCTACTTGGACTTGGAAACTCCGATACGAAAAATGTCCTTTGAACTAAACCTCGCGTTTAATAGTAGGATCTTTTTTCAAACGAAAACTGTTTAGCTACAAATGGACTACAGGAAATTGGTAAGCGAAATGACGATCATAATTAATAGTAGATCGTACAATTTGTATAACTTTAGATGATAAAATTCTTACTTTTTCAATTACCCGAATATTGTGTTTGTCTCATCGTAATCCAGTTGCCTCGTAACCAAAAGGGTACAAAAAGTTTGTATTAATTGTTTGCCATATTTGATAGAAAAGATCTCAAATCGTTTTCGTTCTATTAATGACACCTAACTATTATCTAAAATTAAAAGCACCTGAATTGACCACCACGACCTCACAAGTGAGTGGCCATTGCAACAACTGCTTCGTTACTCAACCACCATCCGGTGAGACGCTTGCTTCATTGCTAATCTATTAAAATAAAAAAATAATGCGTAACTCCTCTTAGATCGGTAGTCCAGAAATACATCTGGTGTTGGATGCTCATGGGCGGCGGTAATCACTTACTGCCATAGTAGCGGCGAATCATCTGCCACGTGCAAAAAATCTCGCATCTCGCACCGTCGTAAAGCAAGCAGTGGCAGCCCTGTGTCAGATGGAACCGCGTTATGATTGGCGAGCTTGTGCGGCGGTGGAATGACCGACGGCCACGCTCCCAACATATTCCGCTCGTCGAGGATTCTAGAAAAACTCAATTGCGAGCGCCTATTGTTCGCCTTTAGGGCTGCCGTCTCCGTAATTAGGACGGGGAATCGGAACAAAACGATGTTCCCGATACCATTTTATTCGGCCGTGTCTGCTATAAATTGAGTGGGAGCTGATACGTATTCGTCTTGTTCCAACCGGCCGCGGCTATAATGGGAAAGCGAACATTTCCAACGCAATGTCAATCTGAATTCGTAGCTGTGACGAATGCCTTGAATTATTTACTTTTTACAATCCTTAAGATGCTTTCTTTACCTTGTGCTAATTTTCATGTATTGCTGCTACCAAAGACTTTTATCTAAAGATGATCTGAATAAATGGCAGCCCTATTATGTTCAGTCTTAAATTCGAGTATAGGATTGAGCTCATCATACAGTTCTTCGCACATTTTTACTTTTTTTTGCCCCCGCCTGGGCCACCTGATTGCGTCACCTACCAACCAAGAAACTTGATCCTTTAAACAATTACAGTCTCAGATTAAAAGTTAACTAATAAGCCTACGAGTTCCTTAAAACTTTTCACTACAGTAGAAAGATTTGTGTTATTGAAAGTTTTTATCAGTAAATCAAACTGAAATTCACTGCAAAATCCATGAAAGGTGGAGACATTTTATGAAATTATTTTAAAAACTACGCTAAACTATATTAACATTTTATTGACTTTGGTTTTATTTTGGTTTAACGCGTTGCAAAATAGAAAAAAGTTGATAAATATGTGATTTAAATAAATTTCTCTTAGATGTAACCATTATAGAATATAATGATTTAGCCACTTTAAATAATGCATGTTTTATTAATTCAAATTAAGTATACGTAGTTGATGAAGTTAGTAGAAATAGGTCATTGAGACATTTGAAATTTAAACTTAATACATCATTAAAAACTTACTTCGTTAATCAATATGTTATTTTCATTGTCCAGACTACGTCACGTTGTTTGTACAATAATTAGTGCTCTGCGCATTCCGTATCACGCTCGGGGATAATTTAATGACTGAATAATGGAAAAAAAATTAAGCACGTATACACAACAGCACATACATTTTCTGAAGTATCTCCCCGTTAATCTAGCATCTAATGTCGGACGATTTATAGTAATTAACGGACAATGTCAAAGCTTCCTCCTCTCGCGGTGGTGTAATGGGATAGTAATGAAAAAACAAAGTCAATACTTATATCCCTCTAATAAGCATCTTTCCATTACGAGGCGCAATAAAACTGCTAGGCTCTCATCAAAATACCGAACTGAGGATCATATTACAATGGACATCTGTTACGGGGCCTCGTTGGAAATGACTTCACATTGACCACGAGCGACCACATTTTCACACCGTCGCGGTGACCTAAAGCACGCGATATTGCACTAAATAACTATCGTTGTAAGAACTACATCTGCTTGAGCGGATCGTGTGACGGCGTCAAAACATATGTCGCTGTCCGTCTGCACCGGTTTATGAACAAGAAGTAGCGTGGAATATTGCCGTGTGCGCTAATGACGTGCGTTTCTGCGCTTTAATTGCGATCAAACAGATACACAATATCATATCGTGCTCACGCCGAAGCGCTTACGCTTCAGTGTTAAGAGCGAATTTCGCTCGGCCCGGCCGCAGAGGCATTCTGCGAACGGCCCTTGTCTCATCCGCCACATGAAAAATGGATGAAGTCTCATCTCGGAGGAAGAGTAAAAAGCCCTCGTATCGGCGACGGTTTTGATTGGTGTACGGATCGAAAGGGAATTATATTACACCTCGGTGCACCGAGAACGATTGCGCTACATGCCACTGTGCAGTCATTATCTGTATCAAGTAGATTTAAATCGCGTTCATTTACTCTGTTGCTTCGTCAATTAACAGCACAATTCGGATGCAACTTCCTCCTTTACTATTGAGAATCGTCAAATTCGTCCCTTGCTTGCTTTTATTCAACAACTTTGGGCAGTTGGTACACAAGAGCTCATACTCTGCATCATACCTCGTCATATCAACATTTTCAAATTAAATTTTGAGATTTGTTTTATTTTTCCATGTTTGTTAGTCGTTTGCAACGGCCTCATCGCAGATTTATCTTATATTTTTAAATAATTCTTACTTCAAACCTTATTTATCGTATTATGATGTTTTTGCATGAACCAGGTGTTTTTGCATAGTAACTGTAATATTTTTACGTTCGATTAGATTTTTAGGAGGTTCACGACAGCTGTTTCCTTCTTTTAAATTCAACACACAACAAAAAGGATTTGATTACTACAAACTATTTTATGATTAGTTTCAGAGTTGAATGCAAAATTAGGATTGTGAAAAATAGACACAAATATTTCATGTTTATAATCAACAAACATAATTTATTAAAGACATTCAGTTAGATAAGTAATTTAGTTAGAATTAATATCGTAAATTATATTCATGTAGCCGGCATTCGTGTGGCCTATACGTAAATGTAAATTATCTAATGGCTGGAACCGAGATGTAGCTTCTGCTGTCAGTTGGCGTCTTAGGGACACAATAGGGACCTAGACCATTATTCGTATTCGTTGTGCATAGGGTTGAAAATGTGAAACATCTTGTATCGTAAGCAATTTATTCATATCATTTATTTATTCGGCAAGATTTCCGTTTATAACACTTCTTCCTGATCAAACTGTGTACATTAAAATCTTAATTTATCTTCTACTTACTTTATATACTTAATTTATAATATACGGTTTGAGGCAATCCATTATCTGACAAAACTTTTTAAGATCCACTGCAGGTATGCTTGATGGTGGTCAGCACGAATCAATTTATTTATTATTTATTGTTTTTAAAACCGTTGCCCTTACTTTAGGATAACATGATGCTGTGTTGTAAGGACTTTACAAACGCCCGGATGAACTTTTCACGCCGACACCCAGATGCGAAACAACTATCTGTGGATCACACAAATAGTTGTCCCATGGGAATCGAACCCACGACCTCCGACGCCGAAGCCAATACCTCGGCAACCGCGCCACGGAGTCAAAAATTTGCTTAGTTTACCCAATAACTAGAATTGCAACACCTTTAGGACGTTAGCCCGAAAAATGTTCTGATCAGACTTTTATAACAACATAATTTGGGACATAGAAAATAAACTTATTATTACGCTTTATTTTATAACTTCGCATCAAAATGTACTGAAGCATATAGTATTTACAAGCACACTTCAGTTGTTATAAACTCGACATTGTTAAGCACATATGACATTTTGTCCATCCGTCGTTTTGGCAGTAAAATTCCAGGCATTTCCCAACATCTGAACGCGGCATGAGTCCTATAAAATCCTTTTATTCTTTAAAAATGATAGCGATAACGTCTCCTGCTCAACAAGTCAAGATAAACACTCAGTGCTTAGTAAGCTAACAAGTAACATTGTAGTCCAAGTCCATCGTCTTTGCTAAAACAATGTCATTGCGTGAATTGAAACGGTGCCTCTGCATTTTCGAATTAATGAACGCCTTCGGGTTGACGTTCCTTATTATGAGGCGGCGGCCCTTCATCACCGGTCTCTTTAATTTGGGGAGCCGTGTTTATGGAACCGGTGCTTGGTGGCTAATTGTATGGAGTTACGCGCCTATAGGCTTAAAGAGATACTGGTTCGCAATGATTAATGCCCCGCGTTTTGGTGGCTTGTAATACGGCGACGCCGATGGGCCATCTCCAGTGTTCCAGTGGCTGTGCAGGATTTTGGAAATTATTAGAATGACCTCGAGGAGTGTTTCTAACGCCCCTTATATTATATGGTAGCTGAATATTATAGCGAGACTTGTCGTGAAGAACTTTAAAGCGATGCAGAGTCGTGATAAGATTATCGTCCAGTGTTGTTGAACAATAAATGTAGAATAATAAACGGTTGAACGATAAATTTACAAAAAAAGGGTGTATGACACATAACACGTCAACTTGAATATGGTTTAATGGCTCTAATCCAGAACGAGTAAGTGACGCGGACTTTTAAAAAAAATGTAATGATAGAAATAATTATGACTAAGTATTCAATTAGTTTTGTACTGGTATGATGACATCTGGCAAGGGAGTTTTAATGTGAGTGTTGCTGTTTGAGAAAAGAGGAAAAAATCTGAATTACTGAAGGGGCAGAGAGAAATTACACGACAAAGAGGGAGTAAATGATGATGTGTAAGAGATGATAACGAATGGGAGAAAGGAACATCTCGTATTGACAATAAGTAAACGGGATACCGAAATAAAAATTATAATAGTTAATGCCTTTTGTTTCAGCTGTTCAACACAACCGAACTTCACGTATCATCGAATAAATTGTTCTTTGTACTTTTTGCATACCAGGTCAAAGGTGTTTGAAATTTTAATTGCATACGTAGCGTAGAAATATTTTTAATTTTGACTTTTCCATATTATATTTAGATACTATTTAAATATTGCAAATATAAATCAAGGTGCAAGTTTCTGTGCCCAAATAGTAATTGTTTATTGAATAATATTAAAATGTTAAATATTAACTACAACATGGTACCACGAACGCTAGTTGCATTTCCTCGCTGAATAGTTATGCTTAACCTTTGAGCGAGAAAATTCCAGCCTTCTTGTCATCAGCATCACCTTTCAACAAATGTAGATGTGTTTGGACCTTATACACCAACATGTCCACAATAAGGCTCAAATACACGATCTGGACAAAGAGTTACTACAGTTGCCTCTGATGCCGCCAGCCCTAAATCCTGGGCAAAATTAGAAAAATTTAAAACTGAGAAGTTCTCGCGTTAAATGAAATTAAAGACAACCATCAGGATTTTATGCTAACACGTCTTTGACATATGAAAAATGGCAACACCTCCTGCCAATATATTCGCCATCAATCTCGACGGAGTTCAACAGCGGTTTCCATTTCGAACCAATCCGTCAACATAATTAAATTAAAAGCTACGGGCTGTTAAATTGAATTTGACGCTAGTCGTGCGGCCAAACA